TGGTTTCAAGTTTCAACGATATCGGAGAAAGTGATCAGCCCGCCGGCGTAACGTCCAGCCTCTACACCTGCCTTTCCGGCATTGATGCGGTCAGTTCATACAAATGTCATTCAGTGCAGAGTAACACTTTAACAAACTGCTCTAGTTCAATTATTCTCACCTTCAAACGGTGGCGTGAGCTCTCCGACGTTTTTACAGACGGGTATGTTACGGTCTCGTGGAAGTTTTCGAGGATCAAAAGTCCCCCAAGTATCAAAGTATTCGTCGACTTATCCCATATGATGAACTCCTGTAGAGTTACTGTGTCGTAGTCAAAGCTACACCTGCTGTCTCCTACCACGGTGTTCCGTTGGTATCAAAACGAAGGAACTGGAGCTTTTTTATCCGAAGATAGGCAACTCTATTTCCACCATTTCCAAGAACTTCATTATGGTTTTGTTGGTTGGTTTTCACTCATAACAAAACATCATCTGTATCGCCTGTCGTCTTTAAAGGCAGCGCCCACGTTCACTTGATGTTCCTACGCCCTTTCTGGGTATCATAGCCCTCCCCATAAGGATGCAGTATGTACTAGTTTTGCATCTCACAAAGGCGAGAGGATAGCGCCTATCGCTAGTAAAGAGTCGACCGCCCCGCCCACCTGGCGACCACGACGCCCAACTTCATTTCTAATGGTTGCCTGATGGTGCGGTTGTTCCATTGCTGCTTCTCTCCACGTCGTGTGGTGAGAGTGAGGATAAGGGAAACAGCTGAAATAACAAGTTAAGAACTGGCAACCAACCCTTTCTCTTGCTTAAAGCAAGTACAACCCCTATTCGTATGAAGCTCCCTGGGCATTTTGAATGTTTTTTTTGATTTTTCTTCACTAATATGTTTTCTTGCTACCTGCTATTACTACTAGCCGGACATACTCATCGAATTTGAAGCGCGTGGCTGCCTTTAAGTCCACGAAAACCTGAAGCAGCGCCGTGTAGTTAACGTCTCCACAGTAGTTAAGCTGATTTCTCCGCAGAGCACGAAGCTCGTCAGCTGCCCGTGCAGAGCTCTCGTAATGAAGTATTACCATTGGACAGGCGCTAATCCTGATGTTCTTGGATGCCCTTCGGATCCATTTGGTAGTCGCTACAGTTTAATGGTTATCACGAAATCGTATGTCATCTGATCTTGGACTTCCTGGCAAATACAGCAGCGTCTCTGATCTTCGCATCGACGCAGGTCGAGTGCGGAGTCCAATTCCTTCTTCACTTGTGTAGTGGGCGAAAGCTCCGAGCGTGCGCTTTTGATGACGCTAAAAATATACGCTACTGCATAGAGCATAGCCCATTTTATTCGATAGAGGGGCAAGCATTTAGTTGGAGAGATGTGTTGGGTCGAGCCGCACGAACAACCTTCCCCCCCTTTTGGGGTTTGGTTACGACCCTCCCCCGCCCCTAATAAACACAAACAGTGAAAACAAGGCGTTTCACTGTTTGTTTTTTTTTTAGCTCGCCCAGAGCGTACTATATGACAGCTCTAATTTGTAAAGCAGAAAGTCCACTCAACAGTTTAGAGACATACTCCAAATTTTGTGAAAGCATATAAATACGAGAATGTTGAAACTATGCGCTGGCTGATCCTCCCCCACCCTATGAAAGCCTAAGTCGGCTTGACAAAAACTTTTTAAGGAAAAGACGAAACTGTAGACAGTACAACGTATATGTATCGATTTAAGAAAGAAGGGAGAAATACAGAAATTCCGAAATGGCGAACAACCGTCTAGATACGGATTAATTCGCTTGGCCCACCAGTGGGGAAGAATCTTTCTATATCAAAAGAAAAAAAAACAAAAAACAAAAAAAGACAAATAAGTGGCAAGAACAGCCGCAATAGCGGGAAAGCAGGCCGAGGAATGAATATGGGAAGGGTTCTGGAAGGCCCACGACGCAAGGTGGTTGCAATGGGTTGCGTTTTTGTCAGGAAAACAGGGTGTCTTTTAACGGCCATGACTTCCTCAAAAGCGGACCTGTGGGAAATAGGGAAACGTAGTCGAAAATCCGTCTGTGTACCGTTACAAGCGAACGTATTCGGATATCCAGCATCTGGAATGCATCCCTTCGTGGAATAGGAGCAAGCAGTAGGTTTTAGCGCCCATTAGCTTCATTTGTGGATGCGCCATGCCTAGGCTCCCACGCAGAGGTAATGGGATGGTGCAAGTTCCACGCAATGCCTGTCTACACGAGCAGATGTGTTTACAGGGTTCAGGGAGTTCCATGGCCAACCTACGCACTTGTTTACAGTGTTGTCCGTTGCGGAATGATGGGGCGTGTCCGTGTCCGACGCCGCCAGATCTGTGCTCCGCCAATTGCTGAATTTGATAAAGGAAAAGGATAAAAGAAAGGAGACCAACTGCTGGAAAACGCCTGATACGAACGATATGGTAGTCCTGTCGTTCGTCGTAAGAAAAAAACAGGTTGGCTCAGCGCCAAGCGCGATCGCTTGGACACGCCCCATCATCCGCAGCGGACCAGGGTATGAGTTGTACTGTTTAGCCATATACCTAAATACTTACGAGTACTTACTTACTTACTTACTCATGTCGACTTATTAATATTTCCAGTATTTCTGATTAGTTCAATCAAAGAAAGTTTTGTACTATTTTTTTACATATCCGAGTTCTCTACAAAGCAAGTTTCGCTGTACAGGACTCAGCACACTGACACCTTTGCGCTGCTGTTACTGGCTACCGCACTCATTACGACCCCCCCCTCTCCCAGCGGCCAAATACGACCCCCTGTTGGGGAATCCCCAAAAATGATGTGCCCTGTCGTGGAATCCAAATCTTTAAGGCATCAGTCGAAGCAGGAATTGGCGCGGAATAGAAGAGGTAGGCACGGAGTCTGGTGTTCTTTATCTTCTTAGCCACTTCCTCGATGTTCTTGAAAGGTTCCTTCTGCTCAGCTCTGGTGCCAAGTCGTTTATCATACATTTTTATCAGAGATCAGATCAGATGCGTACTATGTGCCTGCATGCCCACCCCCACCCCTCGACAGCATTTTTGGGGAAAAGTAGGGAAGTTTTCGGGAAATTTTGGAAAAAAGTGGCAGGAAGTTGGGGAAAATCTGAGAATTGGTAGAAGGGGGTCGTATTGTCTCGCGGCTTTTCCTGTTTCACATGTGCTATTTACCCCCCCCCGCTCGACGGCTCGATTCGATGAGGAGGGCCGGAGGGGGGGGGGGTCGTACCAACCTCCAAAAAAAGGAGGCCGTGGTCTACAGACTCGACTCAAATCCCCAACCAATGATGTGCCCTGTTCTTGAGGCGTCGAAATACCTCCGAAAGAATGGAAGAAGTTCTGCGATCGCCTGTTGTTCTTTGGGTCCATCTTGTACACCCCCTTCTCGGCTATCGGAAATTTTTGTGTATAACACAAAGTTCTAAGAGTTCAGATCGAAGGAGGTTGTAAAAACACAAAGTTCTAAGAGTTCAGATCGAAGGAGGTTGTAAACCTGTGTACGAGCTTTTGAGAGTAGTGAAAATGAAGTGAAGCTGTTTTTCTTCAGTTGGAAGGTACTCCGAGCCCAGTAAAGAAACCAGATGTCGCTAGCGAAAAAGTAGAACCTACACAAAAAAGCAGTAGCGTTCGCAGCATCAATGATGCCGAAGCTATGGAGAAAGAAAGCACTGGTGAAATTTTTCGGCAGGTACATCTTGTAAATCATAGTTGCATCCATGAGTACTGCTGGGAGAACTAACATTTGCAGCGATGGGGTTCAGAAATTGTGTAATTTTTAGCACTTCGACTTCGATTTTTCAGACCCTCATACCATTCCTCGTTGGAGGATTTGGTTCCACTCTATGCGGGCTACTTGTCAATCGCATTCAGAAAACAGAACTTGTCTGTAATGTGAGTCACATTCAGGTTGTGAAGGAATAATTAGTTGGTCGCGATCTTTGAAGGTGATGCAAGGCTCAGACACTCGCTGTCGGCTAGCCTTATGGCTAGTTGGGAAGCCCACTAACAATAAGATATTAACCAGTCCCACAATCCATTTTATAGCTTAAACGCTTACTCAATAGACCGTTTAGAGAAAAAGGTTACGTGTTGAAGGCAGGCTCCGCGTTCAAAAAATGTATTAGGCTGCGTTGCATGCCGCACCAGCGTCTAGCAGCGTCACAGTGCGACACTAGCTTCTGAGCGTCCGGCAGCGTCAAGCGACAAGAAGTAAGATCTAACCTTAGCCAGCGTTCTACCAAGGCGTCACCAAGCATCGACCAAGCTAATAGGCACTGTATACTATCACAGCACCTCGCAGGCGCTGGTCGAGCCGGTAGACGTTGGGTGGCCGCTACCAACGAAGTATGAACGCCAGCGCAATACGTTGGCCTCAGATAGCGTAACAATATAGCAAGATGAATCAGCAGTGTGCAAGATAAAAGCAGCCAAAAAACCGTCAGGAAACTGAAGGTTAATAAAATAACGGACTCATTTCTGTTGAGCGTCAAGCAGAAAGAGGTCGTGGTCGCCACAGCTCTTCCTCGTCCGGTATCAGCTGTTTCCCTTACCGCCTCACTCACTGCGTCGCGTGTTCGGAGAGATTCAGAAGGGAGCACCGTTACCATCAGGCGCAACAATTAAAGAAGTGATAGGTTCGGCGTTCGCGCGAGTTCAGTGGGGGGGTCCGAATTACCTCTAAGGAGTGTAATGTCGTTTTAAGCGCGCTTTCTCTATCACCTCCCGTCAAAACGTGACAGGTGATAGTATTCCAGATGAGACAACTCGCCCATAGTTTCCAAATTAGTTTTTTCCCTAATAGTCATTAGAAGAAGGCTTGTCTGAGAACCATGGGCACTTTGGGAGACGGCCAAGAGGATCGTAATTTGCCGCTCCGCCGCGCGCGGGGATGAGCGGCGGCGTTTTCGGTTAACTCTTGTTCAACCTGACGTTGGATGCCCTCGAACTTACATGTTAACCCCTGTGCACATTCATGGCTATTTTCAGTTCTGCATTGTCTGTTGTCGCCATCTACTACCTGGGGGACATCGTTATTTGCGGGCACGACGTCGCACGCGACGCCTACCAGCGCGACGAATAACGATCCTCTTGTCATATACCCGGGCACTGTAGCCCACACTGACGGTTTTTGGCAGACTACAAATTACGAAAGCCTCATAGTCTAGTGATTCATACAAGTTATCCAACTTGGTAGGGACTTACCATACCTGTCAAAACACGTCAATTGCAATGGAATCGCGCCAAACGACCGCCTCCCCCTCATAAGTGAGCGGTGCTTATCTCGTATTTTAAACTGCGAAACTAGTACATCCTCCTTCCCTGTATGGAGGGCTACCATATCTAAAGAAAGAGTGGAAACCTCAACGAACCTGCTCTGCCATCAAGTGTACAGTGTACTGGGACCACCCTGGAGAATGTGGGCCAGCCTACTAATCAAGGAAGGATGCCCATAAGACCAGAGCACGTCCTGCCGCTAAAGGAAATTTTCGTAAAATACGGAAAGCACGACTCCTCCCAGATCCCGTCGTCCAATGCGACCCCCTTCCGCGTGCCGCCTACCATCCTGCCGACCATTCCAAAAACTTCCTATCTCTTTTCGGAACCTTCCAGAAATTTTCCAGGTTCTCCCAAGCTTTTTCTCTCAAACGGGGAAAAAGGCGGCCGGGTGGAGGAGGTGGGGGGACAGGAAAATGGATATTAAACATGAACCACGAAAAATCAATCTTCAAAGTCCTCACACCAGGCACCATGCAGAAAACCGCTGATGTCTGGGGCATTGCTCAAATAACTCTCTGCTATCGTTTTAACTTTATGAGAGGATGATTTTTGCACCCATACGTACTAGGAACCTTATGAAAGCAACCTTTTATTCACAACTTTGATCTACACTAGTCGCTATCGATAATTCCTTTTACAGGTTCCTCATATGATCGCCATTTTTGTGCCTTTGCAAGGTATGAAAGGTAATTTGGACATGACATTCACATCTCGATTAGGTACCATGGTAAGGAATGCTGTTTTTCTAGTCTTTCGTTTGTTTCCCATAAAAAATGTGGCAAAGTTTCGCCGCCTAACCGAAATATCGCTTTACCTAGGCTCATCAAGGGCGTCTACAAAGTCCGGGATATATGAAGCGAATACTCATAAACTTAGCTCTATTACAGGTAAGTCACCTTGTAATCACCCTTTTCCGATAAAAGTGAGAGCGGATTTGCAGGGGCAAGGCATTTTCATTAGCCTCTTCGCAGTGCTAATGTCTTTTGTGTTGGCAAGTTTATATGAAGAGGGCAAGAGTCATCCACCAGTCGACGACTACCTTTTCCTAGGAGCAAACTCTCTATTCTCTATTTGTATTGCGAATGCGACTTCAGCAGTCGGTGATTTTTCAAAAATATTCGAATTAAAAGCGATTCAGCAGCGAAGCGATCCTTCTTTGCCAAAAAAAGGTTTGCGCCGATGCTAGAAGTTTGGTCAAAAAAGTTCTGTTAAGCTTGGCAGGAGGTACTGCGACTGCTTGATGTGCTGACTCCAACAAACTTGATTTTTTCTGATTTTATTTCGATCATGAGGCCAAAAGCTACCTATCATGAACTGATTACAACATTTTGGTGTAAGGGATTCGATCGAGCAATCGCTGAGTCTGACCGCGCTCTCACCGAGAGGAAGAGAGGATGCGGCTTCAGTGAACAATTTACCCTAAACGCTCAAAGGCGATGCGGCTTCAGTGAACAGTTCACCCTGACTAATCAGCATATTTTGTTCGCATTTTCAGCTATGGTTCTTCTGGTCATCTACACGTACCATAAAGCTCTCAATCCTGACAATATTGGCACTCCGATTGCAGCCAGTTTCAGTGATTTACTAACAATATTGACCATGGTACGCTACTACTCTACTGCATATGCCGCAATCAATACATTCCAGTATTACTGTCATCATCTATCAACAAAAAACTATTTATAAGGGAGCTAAGAAAAGTTTCGAGCTCAACTGATAATTAAGTGGTATGAGCCCAATTTTGGTGAGCGGTATCGAGACAAATAAAACTGCAACCAATGCCTCTAGCTTACCCAACCCAGTTCTTCGACAGCTTCTCCAAAGACACATTCTGCAAACCATGAGAACAGTCTTGTCTAAGCTCGTAATTGCTAACCACAAGTGTTCTTCATTGCTACACTGCGTATCACGTCGATGGGAAGTACGTGACTGCGTACCCAATACATGGCGTAGGATGCGTTTCTGTGGATATTGGATATTTCCATTTGAGACTGCACTGCATTTGCATTCAAGACCTGCACCGAGCCGGGACCGCCATTAAGTGCTGAGCCTTTGCAACCTTGGAAAGAAGCTCTTACTAGGATGTAGTTGAAGAGTTGCGGTAGCAACGGTTTAAAGATTAAGCATGGAGTGCAGTCGCGCGACTGAAACATTTCAGTCGCGAAATATGAGTGCTGTCTATCAGAAGTATGCGTGCAACCTAACAACTGTGAAACAATGCTCCTACTTCATAAAGCACTAACTTTGTGTGTCAGTTTGTATGCATACAGGGGGGGGGGCAAAAAAAGTCACTTTTCTTCATTGACTTTCGAGGCGCTATAAGTTACACTTTATTGAATTCTGATCGGACATTTTACCACCATATTAAAGAGCATATTAAATACTATCATGACACTCCCACAGACTTCTACA